ATCAAAACAAAAAGTTAAGCAAAGCCGGGATACAAAAAGACAACTGTCCAAAATCTGAGGCTCAAACACCTAGTCAATGAATGAAAGCGCAATGGAGGAACTAGTGAGAATATGTGACACTGGGTAAGCTAGGGAGAGAGGCTTGTGTGTGCGTGTGTGTTTGTGTGTGAAGGCATTTACAGGAGCTGAGTGGAATCATCACCTACGCACTGCCTCCTCATGGCGGTGTTCTCCCACCAACGTCAGTGAACACTTGGCAGTTCAACTAAAGCAGTCGGGGCAAACCCTGATTTCAAACTAACCAAGAAGCAGCGTACGAAGCACACCCTCGTTTTGACTGTGGTCACCGGCGCAACTGGACATCCAAGTGTATTGGGCACCTTGGACGTTTGACCCCGTCCAAGGGGCTTATAATTTGATGAACTGGACACCGGTCCCCCAGTAGATTGCGGTTTCACATACAACTCTGCTGCCTTGTGGTTAACCGAAGGCTCCGGTTGTGGATTCCTCAGGAAAATTCACCTGCTTTGGTCTGGGCAACTTAGCCGTATCGTGCCCTCGAGCAAATTATGGAGATATTTTCTTTTTTATGAAGATTATTGTACCGTGATTTGTTTGTCACACAGTGTGAGCTCAGGTGTGTGTGTGTGTGTGTGTGTGTGTGTGTGTGTGAAAGTAGAATATAGAATAATGGGCAAATTTGTTCTACGGTATTTTGTAACTTCCTGCTTTAGCTTTTCCTCGTAGCAAATACAAACAACGAATACAGACAAATGATAAGAAACTAATTTCTTCTTGTAACGAGAAGGCTAGTTGGCTGGCAAAAGGTTTATTGATCCGATTCAAAAACAACCGGTGTACGCGTTCAATTATATACAATCAATTCTTAACCGCGCGGCAGGATGATTCATGCCTCATTCTGTTGGTCAATTCCTGCTTTTTGGCCCGCACTTGGCTCATACGTTGCCTCTTCTTCCGCGTGCCGTTTCGACTGGTTTGATCCGATCGTGGTGCGAGATATGTTGATCGACAGCTCCGACGTGGTATTCGGTGGATATCTTTCTGGCTGGATGCGGATTGGGCTGTAATTGTCAATTCGTTCGTTTCGAGTGGTAGTCGACACTGTCTCGCGAAGTACTTCCACCCGCTACGTCTGCGCATCTGGTTGAATGGGCCGTATTCTTGATTCGTTCACTAGCCGGGGCTCTCTTTGTGCCATCTCCCATCACACTGTTATCTTCTCTTGCTAGCCACCAATGATTTGAGTCGCAAAGCACACCAAACTCATCGGAATCAAGACAGATTGATCGATCGAACTTACGAGCTGAAAGAAGCTGGTGATTGTTACTGCTGTGTGATTAGCTTGCATCAGCTCATCTTTTGAAATGTTCATCATTTGTCTGGAGTTATTCTAAGCTTATAAAGGGCAGAAATAACTGGTGTTGGGGTTCACCACTGGACATTATTGGTTCAAAGGACGGCTCATCAAACACAGTTCACATTCGTTCGATGTGGTACTGATACAATTGCTGTAATAGAACCTCGGTCCATTCGAAGGTTCCAAATGGCTGACATCATGGTTCATGAGTAGAGTTCATAAAATGAGCCAAATAGGATAGTCTGAAGCACTCATCGGTTCTAAGGCCACATTAGCTGGCAGTGAAACGTTTATTGGTTCTGAGTCGCAGCGAAAGCTGGGTGGTCCAACAAAATCGCAGTCATTATCCAATAAGTAGGTCGATACCCCTAATTTCAAGGCTCCGTTTTATCTTTGGCTGTGGTTAACCGTCCTATATAGCTCGCCAATCCATGAGGTTACGAATTTGATCATTGTGATGAAGCGCCTACTTGATGGTACTGACAACAAAGCTGTTTCGTGCTATGTCTCATAATTTATCGAAAATTCCGGTGAAACCAAGGGACATGATTCACGAACATCAGTAGTTCTATCTAAGCTTCACGAACTGTAAAGTGTGACATATCGAATCAAGGGAATTTCAAAGAACTTGAATAAAATTGAAATTTCTCGCTTCTGTCCAGTGACTTCACTTTTCTTTTACATTTTGAACCTTTTGCGTAAATGTTTCCCCTTCCTGCTGACCTTTAATCAGTTCGATCTTGAAAACTGTATCAATGAACTCTTGTCCCAACTGGACACTAATAAGACGGAACCGGAACCTTCTGGTGTGTCTCAAGAGAATGACTCAACCAATCAACCAGTTGAGATAATCGATCTTATGCTTCCATCCGGCGCATCTACTCCGGCCTATTCTTCTTTATGGGATCCCGGTTCGGATAAGATTGAACGTCAAACTTCGCTCCCAGTCTCATGCGCATCGTCTCTACCGCGGCTAATACAACCATGTTCGCCGCTATGCCTGAGTCAACTGGCACGGGAGACAGAGGACGAAGAGTGTGCGGCGAAGCGTCGTCGGCTGGACGAAACAAATGCATACAAGTCGGGTTCTGAATCAACCGGCACGACTCAACTGCAGACACCCAATTTCAAGCCGTCGGCTACCCATCAAATCATGAGCACAGAGGTTCCACGACAGGATTTTTTCTCCACAGAAGATCGTCTGAAAATGTGTGAGTTTTCTGCTTTTGATCTTCTGTTTATGCCGTTTTTGCCCAGCGGAAGATCACCTATTAGAGCCAGGTTTCTTGAGTTCTGTGTCGAACCGAGAATAAACCATATTCTTTTCGATTTTGACCAACTCTGGTCCTTTTCCCTGCTAATAATCCTTCTGTATTTAAGTTTGGTGGTATGTAAATATATGTTCCTATTAATGTTTGCGCTCGATAAAAATTGATCCTGCTGTTCGCAGTGGTTACACTTAGGCATCCTCGGATACGTTGTGCAATGCTTTTAGTGAAGACACTGTTTTCCCGTCACAAATTTGAATAGAGAAGTCAGAAAGATAGGTTTTCACAGTGTGCCCATGGTCATTCTGATGCATCTGTACACGCGTGCATACTGGAGTCAGAGTGATTTTTATAGTCAGTGAGATAATTACCGTAAAACGAAGACAGGATCGTTAACCACAACGGACAACACGACATAAAGAACGGGAGAGCGTAGGGGTTAATCACTAAGGCAAAGCTAATGTAACTAACAATTCACGTTATTCGCAGAGATGGGGTTTGAAAGTATGAACGGCTGGAGCCTAGACAAATTTCAGTATTTGTTGTGTTGTAGACGACCTGAAAGGCATGGGTTTGAGTGACAATGTTTTTGTTTTTTGTTCAGAGCGAATAGAAAAATTAATACACACCACTGCTTACTGCACCCTAATATCCTACAGCGTGTTTAACCGTGGATCTGGCTAGTTACGAGATCCAGAACCGGCACCCCGAACGTAAAGTATTTCCTCAGGTCCCCCGGTTAGGGTTTTCAAACCTTCACACCAGGTCATACTGTGTTCTCTCACAGTTGCCGTGTATGTTTTTATAATTTATATCGTGAAAACGACAAAAATAGACTATTTTTCATACATATCTTGTGAACAGCAGGTCGCGCTGAATTTTCCAGCTGTTTGTTTACTCCTCTTTTTTAGACGAAAGCTGTGTGCGTTTAGGTACAACTTCCATCGCGCCATGCCTAGCCTCAGAACCCTCTCAGCCTGCTGCTCAACCGTCCTATCTCGGAGTTGTGCCATTCACCGAATCCAGCTCTACTCCCTGGATTGACCGAACCACGGCTCTTTACCTTCCACCGATTTCCACACCGTCGTCTCAACAGCCGGTCAATAACTTGGTTTGGTCGTCGAATAGCTATGACACGTGCTACTCTTCATCCCATCCTTCCACAGTCGCTAGAATTGAGACCGTTGAACAAGCGCACGGTCAGATGTCTGTGCTAGACTCGAATACAAATTACTCGATTCCGAGAAGCACAGGTGCTCTGGACGGTTCGTTTGAACAATGCACACGT